TTCTGCAGGAGCTGCAAACACAGAGAGGAGAGTAGCTTGGTTCATTCTGCAGGGAGGAAACTCAGTCTCAAGAGACAGGAGGGCAGCGGCATGACACGCTCCTTATGAAAGCGGACGGTGACACTGCTGCTGACCAGTGTCACTCTGAGCTGGCTAGGAGGGCAACAGAAATGTGTGTCCTGGGGGAAGAAAAACAAAGCCATTTTACCTATTCCTACTCAGAGAATGCTCATCTTGCTAAACCTTAAGGAGTAGAGATCTTTCCCCACCGGAGGGAAACTGGCCTGTGACCTGTCTTCTTATATATCAGCGGATTTATTTCAAGGTGGGTGGAATCCTCATGTGCTTTATTTAAAAAGCCCTCCGTGAAATTTTGAAGGAAGGAACCGAGCCTTGCATACATGCGTGAACGACATGGCGAGTCAATTACATGAAATGATTCTGCAATTTAGGGAGTCGTTATCGGACCAGTTTGGTTTAAAAGATCCTTATTGCACACACAGTTAGGGCAGCACAAAATTGGACAGACTGCTGTGTGTTTTGTGAATCACTGTTTTCCTCTCTATTAAAAATAAGGATTTATAAAATAATGGGGCTTTAGGCGCTCCTGGGTGGTAAGGTTGGTTAAGCGTCCGACTCTTGGAGTGAGATCAGGTTGTGATCTCAGGGTCATGGGATCAGGCCCTGCACTGGGCTCCACGCTCAGCGTGGAGTCTGCTTAAGACTCTGTCTCCTTCTTCCCCCCTCCCAACCCTGCTCTCTCTCTCTCAAATAAATAAATCTTTTTTAAAAAGGTATTAGAACTTTAGTATGTACTAAAGGAATACAAGTGAAGAAGAAAGCATAGCAGTACTTTGGGAATTAGGTTCCCAGAAGGGTTATTGCTATATACTGAGACCTGGTGGCTTTGCCCAGGGGGCGACTCACCGTGCAGCTCTAGCCTGATGAAGTCTGTGATCCCCAGGTTCTCTACAAACACCCCAGAAGGCGCTGTCGTCTTAAAAAAGAAAGACACGTCAGCGCTGAGCTCCCCACGGAACGTAGGGAAGTGAAGGTACGAGGTCTCGGTGTTGAAGGAAGCGGAATTCCAAAATGAATCTGTTTCCAAAAAAAAAAAAAAGACAGTGACAATAGCAAGGAAACAGAATAACAACCATATTTTGTATTTCTAGCAATCTTTTTACCATTATTACCATTTTTACCATTATTAAATGCATTCATTATCTACGCAAGCCTTCCCTTGGGGGTTCTTCCAAACATGCAGCCACGATGTGAATACCCAGATACTGACTCTTTCAAGGGTTAAGATGGACAAGACTGCAACTGAGTGGACAGATAATCACTGGAAATACCCTGCGTTTTTTAGAAGACGATGTTATTTATAGATTACCATTAAGTCAAATTGACTTTGGGGGTACATACAGTTAGATGAACTTTAATACACGCATAGGGTTGTATAACCACCACCAAAATCAGGATAAAGGACAGCTCCATCTCCCCTCCTCCCTCCGGCTGTTCTCTTACAGTCACACCCTCCTCCTGCCCCTAAGCCCTGGTTATTGTGATCTACAGTTGTGCCTTTTCCAAGTGTCATATAAACGGAGTCACACTGTAGGTAACCTTCTGAGACTGGCTTCTCTCACTCAGTGGAATTCAAGATGCATTCATTTTGCCACGACTTGTTGCTGCTCTATCGTCCTTCATCACGTGGATCGGGCCACCATTTCTTTGTCACTGGAGAACGTCAGTGTGGTTTCCAGCTTCGGTCGTTCACAAACAGAGCTGCTCTAAACATGTCTGCCAATCACACGTGTATCTGCAAAGAGTTTTCTTTCTTGCTTTCCAACCTGGATGCCCTTCCTTCCTTCCTCGGTTGCTGCACTGGCTAGGACGTCCAGTGCCACTGATGTCACAGAACAGAAGCAGTGAGATTGAATATCCTTATCTCGTGCCCACTCCTGCAGGGAAAGGGTTCAGTTTTTCACCAGTAACCATGCTGCCAGCTGTCCGTATATAGATAACCTTTATTAGGATCAAGAAGTTCCCTGTTATTCATAGTTTGCTAAGAATTGTATTGTGAGTGGTATCTGATATGAATGTATCATGTTAATTCACGACATAATCATAGTAATTCAAATGATCATGTTCATATCAACTGATGCAAAAAAAGCATCTGGTGTGATTGTTCTTCTTTAAACTGTTAATATGGTAGATGACATTGATTGATTTCCAAATATGGTCAACCCTTGAACAAGGGGGTTGGGGCACTGACCTTTGCAGAGTTGGACATTCACATGTAACTCTGGACCCTCCAAAAACTTAACTACTAATAGCCTGATGGACAGGTTGACTGGACACCTTACCAAGAAGCATCAACGTTTGATTAACACAGACTTTGCATGTTATAGTATTATATACTGTATTCTTACAATACAGTGGGCTGGAGAAAACAAAATATTATTAAGAAAATCACAAGGAAGAGAAAACACATTTACGGGACAGTACTGTATTTATTGAAAAAAATCTGCACATAAGTGGACCTGCCCAGTTCAGACCCATGTTGTTCCAGGGTCAGCTGCACTGAGTCAGCCTTGTGTCCTGGGTAAACCACAGTTGGTGATAGTGTATTATTCTTTCGATATTCCTAGATGCTTTGCTAATGTAGCTGAGGATTTTTGCATATGTATCTGTGATGATGCATAGTTATCTCTGTCTTAATTTTTTTTTTTTTACATTTTCTTTGTCTAGTTTGAGTATCAGGGCAATGTTGGGCCCTCATAAAATGTTGGAAAGAATTTCCTCTAATATTTGCTGAAAGAGATTGTGTAAACATGGTGTTATTTCTGAGGTGGAACTCACCAGTGAAGTCATCTCCGACTGAATTCAATTCCGTCAATACTTCTAGGTCTCTACTAGTTGTTCAATTTATCTTGAGTGAGTTTTAGTAGTTAGTGGTTCTCAAGGAATTAGTCTGTTTTATCTACGTTGGAGAACTGACATGTGTAGAGTTGTTTGTGGTATGCCATTATTATCCTATTGATGTCTGTAGGATCTGTAGTGATATTCCAACTTTCACTACTTGTATTGGTAATATTTCTCTTCTCTCTCTCTCTCTCTCAACAATTTTGCTAGAGATTTATCTATTTTATTGTTCTTTTACAAATATTTTGTTTTTATAGATCTCTGCCTTTAATTGATTTCTCTTTTTTATTATTTCCTTCCTTCTGCTATTTTGAATTATTTTTTCTTCTTTTTCTAATTTCTTATGGTAAAAGCTTAAATCATTCAGTTGAGATCTTTTTCTTTCATAAGAAATAGCATTTAATGCTATTAGTATCTCTCCAAGCACTGACATAACTGCCTCCCACCATTTTTGATATGCTTTATTTTCCTTTTCATTCAGATCAATATATTTTATAATGTCTTTTGAGACCTCCTTGACTCATTTAATATTTAGTAGTTTGGTGGTTAATTTCTAAGTGTTTGGAGACTTTCTCACTCTCTTTGTTCTTTGTTTCTAGTTTAATTCATTTATATCAGGGAATGTATTTTTGTGTGATTTATTTGATATGCACTCGACTTTGTTTTGTGACACAGAATATGGTATATCCATGTGCAATTTAAAAGAACACGTATTTTACTGTTGGTAGGGTGTTCCATAAATGTCAATTAAATTCCGTTGCTTTGTGGTGACTTTAGGTTTTATGTACACTTTGCTTGTTTCCCCCATTAGTTCCAAAGATTAATGAGAGAGAAGTACTGGATTCTCTAATTATAATTATGAACTTGTCTACTTCCCCTTTCTATCCTGTCAGTTGTTGCTTAATGTATTTTGAAGCTCAGTTATCAGTGTACACATTTAAGATTCTCATGTCTTCTTTTTTAATTTCTTTTCAGCGTAACAGTATTCATTGTTTTTGCACCACACCCAGTGCTCCATGCAATCCGTGCCCTCTCTAGTACCCACCACATGGTTCCCCCAACCTCCCACCCCCCGCCCCTTCAAAACCCTCAGATTATTTTTCAGAGTCCATAGTCTCTCATGGTTCACCTCATGTCTTCTTAATCGCTTTTTGTATCTATTAATTTTCTATGCTTTCAAGCAAAAACTTTAATACAGAAACTCCAGCTTTCTTACAATTAGTGTTTGTGTAGTATATCTTTCCCTGTCCCTCTTTTTAAACTTGTGATATCATTATATTTAAAGTGAGTTTCTTGTACAAAGTACATAATTGAGTCATAACCATCTGTCCTTTGGTTTGTTTAGACCATTCATATTAAATATAAATGTTGACAAGTTTAATTTAGTTTTATCATTTTATTATTTTTTCCTGTTTCTTAGGCTTTGTTGTTCTTTTCTGTCTGCTTTGGGGTTAAACATTTCTTAGTATTCTATTTTTGTTTGTCTGTAGCAGTTCCTTGGCTGGTTACTTCAGGAGTGACAATATATACACTTTCCTTTTCAGAGTCTGCTCAGAATCTACATTTTAACCACTGGGACTCATATGTCAAAACCTGGCCAACAATTCTGTCGGTTTTCTGAGTGCCCTTTATTTATTGCTGCCAAATGTATTCCATCTGTACAAAGTAAGAGCTCTTTGAAATAATGTTGTATTTTTTGCTTTCAACCACAAGTACATTCAAAGTAACTCAACAGGAGAATAGTCTCTTATATGTACCCCAATATTTATCATTTCTCAAGCTGATTTTATACCCCTGAGTTCCCAGATTTCCTTCTGGTATCTTTTCCTTTCTGTCTGACTCTTCCTTTAGAAAGTCTTTTAAATTATCTCCTGGTAAGGAATGCTTTTAGCTTTCCTTCGTCTGAGAATTTCTTTATCTTCATCCCTGAAGGAGGTTTTTGCTGAATAAGGAATTCCAGACTGACAATTCTTTACTTCTAGCCCTTGAGAAATGTTTTGCTACTTCCTTCCTGGCTTCCATATTTCTAATGAGAAAGTCACGGCCATATGAGTAGGCGTTCACCTACAGATGATGCATTACTTTTCTCTCTGGTTGATTTTAAAACATTCTCCATTGCCTTTGTTTTCAGCAGTTTGATAATGGTGTGTCTGGAGGTGAATTTGAGTTTATCCTGTTTCAAGTTCATTCAACTTCTCAAGTCTGTTTTTTGACAAACTTGGAGAATTTTCAGCCTTTTTTTTTCCAATTTTTTTTTCAGCACCACACTATTCTGTCTGCTTCTGGATGTTCAATTACATGAATATTAGATCTTTTGTTGTTGACTCAGAGTTCCCTGAGGCCCTATTCATTTTTAGATTTTTTTTCTTTCTTTTGATCAGATGAGTCATTCCCATCATTAAGGCTACTGACTGTCTCATCTCAGATCCACTATTTGGTCCACCCAGGACATCTTTTATTTCAGTTTCATATTTTTCAGTTCTAGAGTTTTCATTTAGCTCTTTGGATATCCTATTTCTTTGGTGAAATGTTCTTTCTCTATTTGCTACAAAAGTGTTTATGATCACTTGTTAGAGTTCTTATGTAATAGCTGTTTTAAACTCTTTATCAATTCGTTCTAACCACTGTGTCACAATTGCATTAGTATCTGTTGACTACATTTTCCTAAGCCAGCTTAGATTTTTCTGGTTCTTTGTGCTAAGTAATTGTGGATGACTCCCTATAAATTTTAAATATTATATTAATAAATTCTGGGCTTTGTTTAAATGTTGTGGAGTATGTTGATTTCATCCACACACACATATATACATATATACAAATTTTATTTTTTGTTTTTAATTTATTTAGTTTTTTTTTTGCAGGCACTTGGCCTAGTTAGGATCTGGCCACACATTGCAACCTGCCTTCTGTGGGCTGTCTCTAATGCCAGTCCACTTTCCAAAGCCTTTGCAACACGACCCAACTCTGCCTCACTCGTGCACAACCCAGTGGCCAGCCTGGGTCTTGGGTTGTCGACTCTCCATTCAGTTCTCAACTTCTTGGGTCTACAGTTAGGACCGGATCCATGCATGTGTCACTCTTGGATGAGCCGAGGACTTCATGAACAACATATAGTATGCTTTCCTGAATGGCCGCCTCCCTTTGCTCTTCCAAGTACTTTCTGGTCCCCTGGACTCCCTTGTCAGTCACGGAACTGGAAAACAGGCTCTACCGAGACTGCTCTGTAATGCTGTCCTGTGTAACTGTACCTCGTCCGTTGCCAAGTGATGGGTAAGTGGAGGAAGAAAACAAAACTAAGAGGAGTCTTCCCACCATCTCTGAGCCACAGCCACCCTCTGCAGGGCAGAAGTCCCCTTCTGAAGTCCTGGCTCTCGTGCGCTCCCTGGGCAGCTCCTGCTGCCATCGTCGTGGGTCTGCCTGGAGAGAAAAAGAGGGAAATGGGATTCCTGCATCCCTGAGAGTTAGGAACTTTCTGTTCCGGCCTCTAGCCAGGGCTCGAGGGCTTCTCCTGGAACCTCTCTGTCTGTGACCCAGTGCCCACGTCTGGGTTGACCGACAGATGCTGGAGGGAAAAGTAAATGATGCCTCCTGGTTTCTCCTCCTTGCCGCTGCTGGCTTCCTAGAGCCCTGAGATGACTGTTTTAGGCTGCCCAGGTTTCATAGGGCACTCATGGGAGAGATGGGGTGGGCGTGCTTAGTTTGTCCTATCTGGACACAGAGTGTGGTCTGCAGTCTAAGGTCATGAGTGGGAAGAACAATTCTTCGTACTGTCATCCGTCAAGGCATGTTCATGTGTTCTTTACACCGTGACTATCCACCTCTCAATAGTTTTGTCATCTGAAGTAGGAAACTTCCTTTTTCTCAATGGCAAGGCTCAGAAATGCCAGGATTTCTCCACATGGCAGCGTCTCCTATGCGGCCCCAGGAAGGGTTGGCCACCGCAGCCTTGGTAGATGTTGAATTTTGGCCTCTGCTCTGATACAAGTACCACTGGAGAGTCTGGGCCAGAGGACTGACGTGCCCTGACTTTTCCCTCTGGCCATTCTGTGGCGTCTCCGCTAAGTGGGCAGAAGCAGCTGCAAGCAGGCCAGTCAAGCCACCGGGAGGGAGCGCTGGATCCGGTTTTGAAATTCAAAGCAATACGATTTGTATTTGTGGATGAGTCCGATGTGTGTTAAGAGAGGGAAGAAGTTATGAGTGGCTGTTACGTTCTCTGTCTAAGCGAAAGGAAGCATGGAGCTGCCGTGCCCTGAGTTGGGGAAGGTTGTCATGGAAACACTTTTTTCCTTCTTTTGGACAAACTGTTCTGAAATGCCTGTCGAGGCAGAGAGGTGCAGCCTAAACAGCTGGGTGGCAGGGGTGGGAGTGCAGGGGGACGGCCTGGGGTATAGCGATGGCAGAATCATTGACCTCAATGTGGGATTTAAAACCACAGGCCTGTTGGGAACAGCTTATCACTGGAGAGCAGAGAGAGGGAGGGCTGAGGACGCAGGCCGGGGGCACCACAACAGGATAATGCCACTGGCACAGGGAAGGAAGGAGGGAAAACCCAGACTTTTATGGGTAATCTGGCAGCTGAACAAAGACGTGAATCAGAGTGAGTGAGGACAGGAGGCCAAGGTCAGGTCTGACGCCAGCTGAGAGCAGAGTGTGCGTTTAGCCAGGTCAGAGCTTTACTGACGCCTGGAAAAGGCAGTTTTTAGGGAGCGATGGAGGAGAAGGCCTGAATAGAAGATATTCAAAAGGGATTAGAAATAAGTAAGTTAAAGGTAGAATGGATCCGCTCTATTTCAGTTAGTTTGGGAGAGGGAGGGCTTCGGAGAAATCCACATACCGTGGGGGGGGTGGTGAGGACAGTTAGGACGACTGAGGTTCGCAAACTGTCAGAGGGTGACAATGAACAGGCACGTGATGGCTTCCATCGCCCCGTTTCTCAGTATCTTACCAGTTTTAGGCATCTCGGCACTCAGCTAATACTTACTCCAATTAATTAATTATCAAATCACTAGATTTTGCTGACTGGGTGATCAGTGTTTCAGATCATCCCACCAACACTCACAGCGATAGTCTGACTCAAATACTACACAGAGGACACACACTCCGAAGGTAATACAATACTCCTCATTTTTTTCTCAAGCAGAACGCCAATATACACTTCTTTTGTAAGTTAACGCATTCCTAATGAGATGCAGAGTATTAGCATAGACGGTGTTTTTACGGACTCAGGCAGCTACATGTCTCCTCAAACACTGACGTGCATTTCCAGGAGTCAAGACAGTTCCTCTTGCCACTACTTACTGTCCCCTGAGCAGAGCAGAGGCCCCAGCGCATAAGCCGCTTCTGAATGTGGTCGGCCTGTGTCTCTCATCGCAACCTGAGTGACTGGCAGGTGCTCCTTATGGGAAAAGACTACTGTGTCGCTGGTCCTACAAAACAAATACAACCACCTTAGCATTATTCTGAACGACATCCAGAGAAGGAGCAAATAGTCTCTTACTGCAGCGCAAGACGTGATAAGCTAAATTTGAAAATACATAACAATAAGGAAATCAAAGGGCTCATCTGAACTCTGACATAGTAACGTACTTAATAAAGTCTGAGGATTGGAGCTCCTTGTCTGTCTGTGTGACCACAGAGATAACAGCAGGCAGGGCTGAAATCATCACCGTCGGTGCGAGCACGAGGTTCTGTTTCCCTGCAATGAAGCAGCTCGCGGCCCTTCCCGATCTGGCCGCCTTGTGAGGTTTAAATGCAAAACTTACACACGCGAGATCTGCCTGCCTTCGTTAAAAAAACAAAACCAAACCACCCAACTGAAAAGATTTAGGTTTTCAGTTCCCAGGTTTTTCTTTTTTAACTCAACTTTCTAAAATTCCTATCGTGGTTACTAAGCATTTCCTTACGTATTGATGCCATCCATTAAAAAAGAGAAAGAAAGAAGGAGGAGGTTGATTAAACCAAACTGAAGGTATGATACAATGTGCTCTTAAAATTAATGCATGGGGTAATGCGGGGGAAGAGCTCGTCGTGACGGTCACTATCCGTTCATTCAGCCAACATTTGGTGCACAGAGACTCCTTGCCAGGTCCTGCGTGTCGGGGTCGTGGGCATAAGACCCACCATCAGAGTCCCCAAGGAATCTAGTGGATATTATAAACAATGACGAAAATATAATTGTAATATAATAAAATCACGTAAGTGAATATTTGGGACTGAATATCTATGGTTCCAATGTAACAAACACCGGACTAGAGCCAGCGGTCCAGGTAGGAAGCTAGCTGTGCCACCAGCCACCGCTCTGGGCAAGGAAAGAAGGTTCTTCTGCACCTTGTGAGCTGCTCGTGTTTTTACGACCTGCTTCAATTACGTATGTGCTTTGGATTTAGAACAGATAATAGTCTGTCTAATGCATCCTTCAGGTGCCCTGCATCTGTGTAGAACCTAGGAAGTTACAGTCTGGAGCAGTTATAAAGCCCCCACTTGCTCTGATGTATACAAACGGAAGCATCTGACACTGACATTTTTGCAAGTCAAAACAACCAGCAATTTCGAATGGTTCAGCCTAATAGCTTTGCTTCAAAAAGGCCCTGCATCACTTAATAGTTAATCATTCCAATTCTGTTGAAGCATCAAAAATATTCTTTTGAGGTAGGAAGTTTAAAATTATTAGCATTTTTATTTTGCTTTAAAAATGTAACAAAGTGACTGCTGGAGCAAATAGGCAAGATATCAAAACTTTGAATTAAATATCCTGAAGTTCAGAAGCAATTTTTTTGGAATCAGATGGTTTCCAAAAATCAGACGGAACAAAACCCCAGGGCTTTATCTGGGTGAGGCCCTGCGATTTCTGCGCGTGGAAGCACACAGGCAGGTCGTCCCAAACACGGAACACCTGGTTTGTTGGGACCGGGACAGGTGGTCAGTGACAAGCCAGAAGGTGGCGTGGATCGTGGGGGGTAGTCAGTCTGAAAAATGCTTGTTATAAATGTGGGGCTAACACAGCAAAATTAATTCCTGGTGTTAAGTATCAGGAAATATTACAAATAAGCATTTTCATTCCTGTCATTGCTATTTTGGTAGAACATCTAGAGGGAAAATGCAAGGGCATTAGTTATTCATTGAGTAACCCTGAATTTTAAAGAACCATTTAAAAGCTACATTTATAATGTAGTGAAAAGCTACACTTTAATTGTTTTTAGCAATGACAAAGCACAGAGTGCCCTGCAAAAAAACCTAAGGAAAATCATAATGGGTAATTGTGTGTGTTAAGGCAGATATCATAATACATTCTTTTTTCATTCTGTTGTTTGCAAAGTAACTTCCTGAGCCTGAGGAAATTTTAAGCAGCTCAGAACTGAGAATTCTTTCTCAGCACAGGTCATTCCCAAATGCCCATGCTTCACGTAGGACGAGATTCATTGCCAGGGTCACCAGACTCATTCGAAATCGCCGAACTTAGTAACATCTCAGGATTTTCCTTGCCTCTCCATGTTTCTCTCTTTTCCCCAAAGGCCAGAGTGTTGCTCTCTAGGAGTGACAACTCTCAGGGTAGGTTTCGAGCACTCAGTGAAGGGACTTCCAAGACCACTTCCTCTTGGTCTTCAGTTCCCGATGCTCTAGAGACGCTTCTGGCGCTGGCTGTTTTGCAGAACACCTTTTCGCAGGTGCAACACAGCCACCTCGACTCCTGAGTTCTGGGAAAGGCTGCAGGGAACAAACACCGGGTTGGCTTTCACGTTTCCTAATTCTTGTGGAGAAAGCGAGCCTGGGGACCACGGAACCATTGCCACCCAGAGTTCCCTGTTTTGAAAGCTCCCGGGCTCGCTCTCGGGCTGTGCTGTTCCCTTCGCTGATCCCGTCGACAAACGCCCTCCTTTTGGAGCCTGCGGTCCCCTGACACTCCCAAGTCCTGGGGGGCCAGTCTCCCATCCTTGCTTCCACCTTCAGGACCGCCATGGACCACTGCTTTCCCACGCGCGTCTTCCCAGCATGTCACCGTCCCAAACACTCAGCATATGACTGGCGTTGGAATGAAATGGAATCAAGAAAATACTGATTTTTCCTACTCATGGCAGTCGTGTGATATCTCCATTTAGATACATCTTCTTATAACCTCATAATAAAACATAAAAGTTCTGCATATTTTTATCTTTATTCCAGGATCTACAGTCTTCATTCTGATTTTGCAAGTGGTTTTCATGATATTTTCTTACGGTAATAAGCTCTTTGTAGGAATTCAGTTATTCTAAGATTCAGTGGGTAGCCCTACTAAATTCTCATTAATTTCAATAATATTTCTGTCTGTCCTCTTGGGTTTTCCTGGTAGGCAACCCTATTTTCTATGAATTATGTCATCTTCATTTCCTTGTGTCTAATCATTTGTGGCTTTGAAATGCCTCCTATAGTTTTGTCCCTCTGCTATTCATTTCTAACCTAAATGTCCTGTAATCAGAGAAATAGTCCAAACCAAAACAACTACTGTAAACTTTTTTGGGTTTTGCTTTATGAAACATTAGGAAAATCAGTTTGCAAAAATGTGCCGTGTGTGCTTGATAAGATTATATATTCTGTAATTTTCAGGGCCTATCAAATCAAGCCATTGATTTCATATAAAAATATTCTGTATCCTTAATAATTGTCATCTGCATGATTTACCAGTTGCTAACAGATGTATGTCTAAACCTCTTCTTACAATGGTTGCTTTTTATATTCCTTCTTTCAATTCAGACAATTATTTTCTATATACATTTTGAGTGATTTTTGTTATAAACATACAAGTTTAGGATTATTAGGGTTTTTTTTGGTGAAATTAAAAAGCATCATGATATGGTGATACTAATCGTTCTATATTAAGACTTCAAAATTTTGGGGCTCCTGGATGGCTCATTTGGTTAAACATCTGACTTTGGCTCAGGTCATGCATGATTTTAGGGCCCTCTGATGAGCCCCAAGTCGCTGGGCTCCCCACTCAGCAGGGAGTCTGCCTCTCCCTCTGCCCTTCCCCACACTTATGGGCATAGGCACCCTTCCCCCCTGTCAAATAAATAAAATCTTCAAAAAAAAAAAAAGACTTTTAAACTTTAATTACTTCTGTGCACATTTGCTTGGTAAGTTGTTTTAGGATTTTGCTTTCAACATTTCTAGGTGTACAAACAAGATATACTTATTTTTAATTCAAAATGAACTATCTGCATTTAAATGGCTATTTTTGTCACATTTATTGTGCCTCATTACTCATAATATTCTTATGTTATTTTGTTGCTCATTGTTTCCTCTTCCTTTTTAACTTTTTTTCCTACCTTCTTTTGAATTAACTTTTCTTAAAATCTCGTTTTTCCTTCCTTCCCTCTTTGGATTTGAGTATTACACTGTTTCTATTCTTCAGTACTTATGATGAAGTTCTAGAACCTAGGTGAGGTTCGGTGGGCTGAGGTCCGGAGCCGATGACCAAGAAAGAATTCTTGAGACATCTTTGGTGCAAAATGGTGGTTTATTAAGCACGGGGACAGGACCTGTGGGCAGGAAGAGCTGTTGCCGTCAGTAAGCCAGTTATCATCCGCATTTTCAATAGGGGAGTCCTTTAAATCCAGCCTGCTAGAATAGACAAGATCAATGATCTCTGAGCAGTTATGTTCTATGGAGGCAGGATGGTCAGGTACAGGCAACAGAGAAGCTGGGTTTAAAGTTTGACAGGTTTTAAGTATGACTTCAGGCGTATCTAAGAGCATAGCCTGGTATTTAGTAAGGCGGCTTCCTGTCATCCATTGGTGGCCCTTGGTTTCTAAGACACTCTGGACCTGATGCGGAGTCATCCACTGTCAGGGACTGTCCCATCATGAGCTTTGAGGCTTCTTCTACTAGGAGGGCTGTGGCAGCCACTGCTCGAAGACAAGATGACCACCCTTGGGCTACACTGTCAAGTGACTTTGAAAAGTGACTTTTGAAAAAGCCTTGTTTCATTCCCTAATTTTTGGGTGAGAACTCCCAAGGCTTGGCCTTGCTTTTCTGCCACATATAGAGTAAAAGGTTTCTCCAAATTTGGTAATGCCAAAGCTGGAGCTGACAGAAGTTTAGTTTTTAATGTTTGAAAGGCTATCTGTTGAGCTTTAGTCCATAACAAAGGTTCCTCATTGGGGCCTTTAATTGAGTCATATAATGGTTTGGCTAAACGTCCAAACCCAGGAATCCACAGGCGGCAAAAACCTGCCATACCTAGAAAAGTGCAAAGTTGTTTTTTTGTAGTTGGAGGCTCAAGATCTAGTATGGCCCTTTTTCTATCACTAGATAGAACACGGTGACCAGGCGTTAGTTCATATCCCAAATAGTATACCTTTTGTTGAGAAATTTGTGCCTTTTTAGGGGATACACGATACCCTCTATCTGCCAAAAAGTTAAGTAAAGTTATACAATTTTCATCAGATGTCTCCTTTGTGGGACTACAGATTAAAATGTCATCTACATATTGAATTATTGTCCCCTTAGATAAGGACACATCACGGAGATCTTTGCTAAGTACAGCAAAAGCGACCGGAGGCGTCCCTCAACAAAATCGCTATTGATCACCATTCTACCTTCCTGTGAAGGCATTCCTGCCGTTAAAGGCCCTGGAGGGGTGCCGGCGTCCTTCCTCTTCCCCATCACATCCTAGGCTACAGATGGGTGCCTGGTGAATGGACTAGGAAACTGTGCCATCCTACACTCGAAAGGTTGTGCTACTGCCCTGCCATTTTTAACCCTCAGAAATACTAGAAAAGTTTGGCAAAGGGAAATTACCCAATTTCGTAGCTTTAAGCAGTTTGTAGAAGACACTGACAAGAAACAGTAAAGACTGAAATCCATCATGGTCTAAATGACATTCTAACACATGTGGTCCTTACAGCCAACTTCCCAGGAAACAGTCCCCGTTTGCATTTTAATTCAATCAGGTACTGGTTTCGGCCGGCTCGGAGGTCTCTCCGGCCAGAAGTGGCTAGACCAGGGTTGTGGAGGGGATCTCATTAGATCAATCAGGAGGAAACCTCACACGGGAGTCTTAAGATTGGCAGCTTTCCTAGTGACTTAGATGGCTGTCCCGTGCCCAGGAGAGACAACTTATATAAGAACAGTAATAAAGAGAGGGTATCAAGTTTCTGGGTCTTATTACCATTCCGGCCAGGGTACTAACTTACAGCCAAAAGGCAGCCGCTCTCCTCCCCGCAGAGTAGCCACGGGCTAGAGGATTACAGCCTGAGCAATTGACATGCAAGCGTTCCAATAAGACCATACTCCTTGAAAAGCCCCTGAAACGAGAGAGTAAAGGAAGAAGAGAGAAAATACTCACCACTTTTGCACCGAAGCTCAGAGTCCAAATGTAAAGGCTCACAATCCCTTCATGGTTGCCAATATGATGAAGTCCCAGAACCTAGGTCAGGTTCGGTGGGGTGAGGTTTGGAGCCAACGGCTAAGAAAGAATTCTTAAGACATCTCTGGTGCAAAAAGGTGGTTTATTAAAGCACGGGCACAGGACCTGTGGGCAGGTGGAGATGCAGCTGCCCAGGGTTGTGAGGGAAGGCAGGTTCTGTACCCTGCAGTTGGGGGAAGGTGAGGGGAAGGGAGGTTCAACGGAGTTTTCATATGCTAAAGAGGGCCTACAAGGTGCCCAGAGACCACTGTTGTCTTTTAGCAAGCCATTAACATCAAGATAGTTGGGAGATTCCTGTCTTGCAGGATTGTGATCTCTGCAAGTTAACTATTTGTTTCTCGTGTATGGAGGTCAGGGGTGCCTGAGGAATGTCACACACATTACTGAGGGGAGCGGGTGGAGAGGGGGTGCAAGGTGCCAGCTTTTGCTTTGTCCTCAGCTAGCCTCCTGCTCCCTCATCACTTACACTTGAAATCTTAACGCGTGCACTATTAGACATTTAATGCTGACAAACTTCTACAAAACAAGTTTCTAAGTTCAATCATATTCTTCTTTCTAACCCTGGCTGTAGTCCTCTGTTGATCACAATCATTTTGTTTCCCGGTCAGGACCGCTCCCTCCTGTTTCCGTATGGTACATGCCTGACACATGACTGGTGTCTCGTATTTGCCTCTTGTGTTTCTGTTAACCTCTGAGTTTACACATTTCTTTCCTCGATGTTTCTTCTAGCGTCTGGGACTCTCCTTACCAGATCACCCACCTTCGTTTTGAAAACATTCTTGAAACTTTGTCTTCTGGAGTCGGCTGGTGGTATATTTCTTCTGTGTCTGTCTGTCTGGGTGTCCCTGTATCTTGGCTAAGGACACACTTGGAACTGGACAGTTACGGTACTTACTGCTGCAGAGTGAGGGGAGTGCTGGCGGCTGCAGGCTTTGCTGGGTCCACAGAGGGGTCTTGCCTGGCTCCGACAGTCCTTGCTTTGACACCTTCTGGTCACCTCCGCTCCCTTTCACATTCTCTTTAATCTTCCTTGATTTCAGCATGATGCTTCTACAGATGGATTTACTCTTATTTATCCTGCCTGGTATCCTAGTATTTTCTCAAGTCTGGCCACTTCTTAGCTATTTTGGCCCTTAATTATAGCCAGTCTCCTCTGTTGAAACTTGGCTCCAACCCCAGTTCTCCCCTCCCTGTGCCCGCTTTCCTTCCTCCCATGCCTGTCTCTCTGGGCTAGAGTCCCTGCCACTTATCTACACTCATTTTCCGTTTTACCAGTGTTCTGATCCTGCGTGTCTAGTATCTGATCTGACAAGTCTTAAATTTCAATGAGAATATTTTCATTTCTAAAGGTTCACTCGGTTCTAAGTCGCGATCACCTTTGTCAATAGTATCTGGTTGCTTTCTCAATCAATCCCAGGCCTTATTTTTCCAACAGCTCACGCATTTATTTTATCTGATGTTCTTAAGGTATCCGTGATCTGGGATTTTTAGGCATCCGTTTACTCCGTGGTTTCTTCTGCCTCCCACTTCTGTCCCCTGGGGCTATGTAGCCCTGATTGTGAGCTCATGTTTGGTGGCATTTTTATCTGTGGGAATTCTCGAGGAGGGCTGGCCTCTAGCAAGAATGTCACATACTTCTATGATGAGCCATTGGTACTGCTGACCTGTGGCCACACTGACTTAATCCAAGGACCATGTAAATTTCAACTCCGGATCTGTGTGAGGGCAGGTCTGTGGACCTGTGTTTTCAGGGAGTTATTTCTTGCTACCTGGGGGGTTAGCTGGAAGGTCGGTCCCTTTCCACCTTCTCTCTGGGTTTGGAAGCCTTCTGAGACCTCCAGCGACAGGGAGAGGTTTGTGTCCCATAAGCCCCTTTTATGCACCCTAAACCCTGTTTGAGTTCCCCTACAAGGCCATTTAAAAATGCAGCCAGCAGCGAGGGAGGTGTGCAAGCACGCCAGGGTCGGCCACGGGGCCGTCATCGTATCTATTGGGTTAAACTTAACGGGAGGAACTCTGATAATGGTACTTTCAGTGAGTGGGAAACATTAATTTGGTATTCCTACCTTGTCTTATTAGGAAAAAAATAAAATGGACATGATTAGTTACTCACAGGTAAGCAAAAAAGCTACCTTAACGCCTCAGTCCTCAGATTAATTACACTGCACACATCAAAGCTTACACCTCGAACTGGCTGGGGAGTACTTTAATCTGTTCTCTTTATACGACTGTCTTGTCCAATGTCTGCCTAACTTACACAATTTAAGCAACACAGAATGACAGTTTGCACCGGGAAATCATGTGGGAATCACCATTCATTCCGGACGGCATCACAGTTGCAGTGATACTGAGAATCAAGGCAGTTCCCCTGGAATCCACAAGCACATTTTTGGGCACCAGGCAGAGAACCTCCCCAGTAAGTGTGTGTCTCATTGGTTCTTCCAACCCACCAGCTCACTGGGGTTCCATCTGAAAGACAAGTATGAGAAAGGTGACACCTACTTTGCCCCCCACTGCCTGCCTCCCCAGCATAGTCCCTTACTCCCCTCTGTCTAAAACACAGATGAGCAGAGGTTAACTCCACAACAGGGTCCTTTCAAAGAGGACTTCCAAAGGTTGAAGACATATTTCCACATCTAGACTTACGTTCTCACCATATGTTTTACTTTTATTAGAAAACGAGCAAGTCGTCCCTAACTCATTCAGGCGTGATATCTACACATTTCTCTTGAGGACTCCAATGACATCATTTATTTGGACACAACACTGAAAGAACTGTCATTTTAAAAAAAGGAACGAACAAAAACCAGAGTAATTTGTACACTGCATCCAAAAGCTGTTTGAGAGCCTAAAATGCCATTGGAAGATGTAGTATTATGAGACAAAATACGGATTTCTTATCTATTGGACGAAAACACTGGTACTCTCCTGTCAGGTCTTTCAAGTCCGCTGGAGGAACGAGCTTCTTGTACTGACACGTTGGCTTTGTATCTGGAAACCACAGACATGGCCTGACAAGCTTCCCTCATGCCCGAGGTGGGTCCTGGGCTCTGGACAACTGAGGCCAGTCTAGCTCAATGCTCAAATGCTCCAACAGGGCCAGAAGCCACCTCAGCTCTGCTGGGCTGTGTTCTCTGCTGAGGCCCCAGGACAGAAGTGCAGGGTGAGGGTGACAGCGAAGGAGGGCCCTCAGGAGGGTGGAGGGGAACAGTGCCTCATAAACAGAGTCAAAGCAGGAGAAATGGAAGGGACCTCCATCAGCCGCCCACAAAGATGCCTGCCCATTTCAGCGTGCTCCCTCCCTCAGACCCTCAGGTTGTCCCCACCCGGTCCCCACCGGGAGTCTGGAACACATGCCACCTTCTCCCTAACGTACAGCCGCCACCGCTCGTTACGTGTTCGATGAGCCTTCACCTGCTGCCCAGAGCCTCCCAGCGGGCGCACACGGGCCGCACTCATTACCGCCCACCGCTGGCCGCTGGGTGAGAGGTGCGCCAAGAAATCAATGTCGGCAATGTTTGCTTTTCCCCTCAGCGTGTTGAAACTTATCTGTGGGGGGTGGAAGACCTTTTCCACTCAACAGATGTTTTTTAAAACACCATTTTAAACACAGGATTATTCAACATCCTTTTCTTGGATGGAGGAGCAAAGAAATCATTGCCCACAGATGCACGATTGTTTGTTTACATCCGAATCTCTCATTTCCTCTATCAAGTAAGAACCAGCAAGTATTGTTCAAGGTACAGAATGCATTTGGCTCCATTCAAGTTTCTTGGAGCAATGCAGAGAATTTGCAGAAGGATCATTAAGAGCAAGGCGAAGAGGAAGAGGGGGAAGGGAAGGGAGCAGGGCTCCCCTCACCTCCGGCACCCGAGCCCCTGGCTGGCTGTCCTCCGCTCCGGCCACAAGGGCAATCCTCAGGGACTTTAACGCTCACGGCATGGAGACCAAACAGTCTCCTGGGATCAGCACTTGCCGTCCTCGAGCTCCCTCTTAGGCCCCCAGAACCGCAGCCCCCGAAACCATCTGCAGCACAGAGACCTACCAGCCGCTGCAGGCAAAGGCCACGGGACCCTAACACGAGCTGAGGCCCACTGCTCCCGGCAACCCTCCCGGAAAACCACAGGAGCCAGGGATCCGCCATCTCTCCTCTCACGATAAACCCCGGGGACCTGATAACAACTGAGGACTTGAACACGGGAATTCTTGGGGGAAAAACTCGGTTCTAACTGACATTCTCGTTCCCAGTCCGTTCCATGACACTCTGAAGCTCCCTGCTCCGCACGCAGCAGCCGCCTAGGGTGGTTTTCCACAGCGACATTCCACTGAGGGCTCCCAGGGAAGGCTCCTTGCACCCATTCGAGTCCTGGATGACACTGTGAAGCAGTGCAACCCTTTTCAGTTGTGTCCGGGACAGTGTTTAGGCCTCGCCCGCACCGTAATGAAGGGCTGCTGGGATCACGGGCGGGACCGCGTCCCTGTAAACGAGGTTTGTGCGAGTTCTCCAGCAGCAGCCCACGCAAGTGCAGCTTCCAGCCTGTGTAGTTACGAAGTCCCTCATTCGGTCTCCACCCAACCCCAGTTAAAGCCTCGGCTTGGTCGAGGCTGTGGCTGCGTTATTTACTGCTGTGGGAGGAAGCACAGCTGAGGAATCCCTTGCGAATCAGGTAGGGAGAGGCCCGCCCTCCGCGTGGGGATTCTCTACTGACCCGGGCCGTGTGTCCGGGCTGTGGCACAGACCACACACCAGCGCGCATGAGTTTGCCCCCAGATTCAAGGGGGTTTTGCTTTCCGACCCTGCTAGCGGCTGGCGTCTACACCGCTCTGCCTTCGCCTCTTTCCCGCTCCAGCAGCCCAAGCCGCCCTGAGCTCCTCCCCCGGAGGCTGCTTTCTCCGCCCCCGGGAGCAAGCCGGTTTAGCTCGCTCATGTGCTTGGCGGGAACCCAGTCACAACAAGCACTAAGCCCCCAGCACCAACTACACATCCACACGCTGCAGCGAGGCCAACAAACAGCATTTGCTTCACGCGTTTCATCGCCGTTGCGCAGTTCGGTTCCGGCGAGGTCAGTGTCTGGGCGTGAAAGTCTTGGGGAGATGAACCCCCGGGCTGCAGAGCGGCAGGCTCGGACCCTGAGCTCAGAGGACCCTGACGACCGTTCTGACAAAGTGAGGTATTTCAAAGGAAGAAAATCCAAAACCAAAAATGGAATCTTCAAGAACAGAAGCGCTATGAGGAAGGAGCCGCTAGCCGGTGTGCCACGTGAGAGGAGCTGCGTGACACCGACTTGGCTCCCTATTAGTAATGACCGAGAGACTAATCCCACTCAGCCCGTGATGACGAGTTTCCGGACAACTGAGCCCGCGTGCTGTCCCCATCTGTCTAAGACCGGACATTTCGGAGGCGTGGCCGCCCTTCATGGTGGCTGAGCACCCGGCGTCCCACGGCCTCGTGAGGGGCTTTCGTTGATCCGTCGCCCACTTGAGTCGGGAAGAGACTTCCCAGCTCCTTCTCCGCTCTGAGCGAGGAGCCACACACGGACCTTGCTCTTCGCTCCGAGGAAAAGCATCTCTGTAACGTCACGATCGCGACACGGGCACCTGGGTCCGGCCCCTGCCACCGGCAGGCACGGCAGCCCACGATGGCGAGGGACTCCCACAACTCACCGTGGCCAGCTGAAAGCCTCGACTTCTTGCAGTGCAGGACCAGCTCCTGTCGGCAGTCGTCCGCACCGTCCATGATGGCTTGGAGCTGGTCCGGGCTGGCCGTGTACTTGAAAAACACGGGCTGGGGGCCTTCTCCATTCGAGCTTTTGACTTTGGTCAGCTGAGAGCCATTGTGTTGTACTGAGGTCCAGGTGGTGTCCTCTGGGCAGAAACAGGGTTGGGAGGGAGACAGGGACTGTGACTAGGTTGGAGCAGTTAAACATAATGTGAAAGTCAGAAGCCTCCTTTATCTGAATTAGGGTTTTAATGTTTGTAGCGATCAGGTCTCTTTGGCGTTGGAGTCAGCATAAAAGACACTGTTAAACGTTAGGAATAGGGACTCTCTCTTTATTGGAATTCGTGTTACCCTGAATGCAGCCAACATTGTCAGGGGGCCAATTCCTAAAATTCTATGTTATAATATTCAAAGTTATAAATAAAACATTTTGTCCCTTAATTTATGTCTTTCCATTACTGTAAGAAGCAGCTAAGTTGTTACTGTGTGTGTATACACCCTTACATCAATATACGTATCACTCTTCACTGGACTGAGTGTTTTTCCTCTGGTAATCAAAGAAATGCACAAGAGACACATGGGGGGGGCGGATAAGCAGCTCACGTGATCATGCAAGACGGTAGGAAGTCAGGATGTTTGACAAAAATTGATCGTGTGTCAGCATCTCATTCAGTACCCAGCCCCAAACGAGCGCCCGCTGGAGTCGCTAATATAACCATTCCTGTCAGGAACAACACACTAATGTCTGCTGGCAAATTCTGACCTGTTTCTGCTCCATTGACTACCCATATTTTTAAAAGAGATTTTAAAACAATGGATGAGCACTCCACGGTGTTTCAAACAGAAGAGGAAGATCTCCCTTTCTTCTACCTTCCCCCAAAACCTAGCTCCTCCCACAGTGTAAAAGGGCCATGGTTCAGGGGCCAAAAGGCTGGCTTCATGTGGTCCTAACCCAACTTCATTTATAACATCAAATCACATAAAACTTCCTCTGGAACACGCATCCGGTACAGACATGATCGGTCGACATATTTCCAAATTATAGGGGCTGGAAACAATCACGTAAGATTTGTTCTTATTACTTTTAATGGCTAAGACCTAAACAAGGTTAAAAAATCAAAACAATGTTACCAGGAACCTTCAGAGCCCTCCCTGCCCGCCCCTCCCCGTCCTGCCCCAGGAAAAACCTAACAGCCCCACAGGTGCTCACGGACCCATTGAATACAGTCAGAGATCCAGAGCAGAGAATGCCCAGGGGCCATAGCTCAAAGCCTATGAAAATCACATCAAATATGCAAAATCCAGCAGGAACAGGAGCAGACTGTGAGTCAGCATGACTAACGCAGTCAGTCAGTCAGGGAGAGAAGGCTTCATAGATCATCCCCTCTCTCTGCTCCTTTAAGGGGCTCTGAGTGTTCCTATAGCAACTTGAATCCCACAGGTTTTTCTCCCCACCTTTGTTTTCACCAGACATTTTATATTTCAACATTTTCCTGGAAATTTTTTTAAACGGACCTGGTGTTATTTTTTGCAATTACCTACTCACATTCCCGGTCAAGGTTTCTTCCACCAGACAAAAGGGGGTGAGAGCACCGATGGAGAAGCCAAGAGC